CGTAGTTGTTGATGGCACGTTTTATAGAGTCTTGACCGACTACGAAGGGTACTTGAGTTACGAACGCCACGCCAAATGAGCAAGACATCGCAGCTGATGTTCATCTCACCAAGGCGTTAAAAAACTCTCTACCCTTAATTTCACTCATTTAGTCGTGTTACCGACGGCTCCAGAGGTGGCAGAGGCCACCGCCGACGAAGACAAGTCCAGTCAGCATCGCCAGCGTCCCAAACGATTGGAGGGAGTCACCCCGTTGAAGCTGCGTCGCGTGGTCGCCGTAGTAGAGAGCGCGCCGAGAGCCCACAAGTGCGGGGTGGTTCAGCGCCACCATCGCCCATGCGAGCGTCGGATCGCCCGTTGCACCGCAACGAGGCACGGACTCGAGGAGCCATACGCCTGAAACCAAAGCGTTTTCGGCAATCGCCGTCTCGACCGTCCGATGCCCTGTGGTGGTGGCCGTCCCGTCGTGTTCGAATGTCGTGTTGGTCGTCGCAAAGTCACAGTTGCAACGCAGGAGGTCCAAGTGTCCAGCGTCAGTCAGGAGGACGCGATGTCCACTTGCTGTGACAATGGCCAGGTCATGGGCGCCGTGCGGGGTCAAGTTGGCGTCCATTTCGATGCTCTTGGTGATATGGCCCGAGAACTGCACGTACACCAGTGCACCTGGTGTCTCGGGCTGGAGCAGCAACGACGCGATCGATGGAATCGCCTGCAGCGCGTCGCACTCGCGAACCCATTGCGCGCGTTGGGAGCAGAGCGTGTGGCCATTGTAGACAATTTGTGCGCCGAGGTAGCTAAGGTCAGGGGCGCAGCCACGTGGAGTGCGCTCAGGGCGGCTTGGGCCATGTCAACGTAGAAAAATGAAGAGTCGGCGTTGACGAACCGCATGCCGTGGTATCGAGACCACCGGGATTCGCACCGGGACGCAACCACAACCACCAGATATTAGAAGAAGAACGATGTCGACAACTCATACCTGAAGGTCGATGCGTCGTCACTTGAACTCAGGAGCCAATCAGATGCCGTTCCGTCGTTTGTAAAATCCGGCACCTTGGACTTACTTCGCTTAGTTCGTGTGATCAAGGGTACATAAATGTACTGACATTAGTGCCAGGGAGTCGATAAGATGTGTATTTGTTAAAAATGAGCGATTAAGAATGAGCGAGCCGAAAAATGGCCGAAAAAGGAGCGAAGATTTTCAGTGTGAAATGGCAGAGTAATGAGTGGAGTGGTCTGGTGGCAGGGGCAGGAAATTGAGTGGAGGGCAAAATGAATGGAGGGCAAAATGAGTGGAGGACAATACCATAGCACCAGTAGATTTTGATTTCAATTCTTGGAGGACTGGAATCCGGGCTGGTGCGTTGTTTCCATCCTTCTATAATATCCTTCTATGGCGCAATCGATGGCATTCTGCAATCACCATGGCTGGTCGCAACAAGAAAACGAAGCTGAAGAAGGCCCACAACTCTCTGTACAAGGCATCCAAGCGCCATGCCGGCCCACTCAACGGCCACGGCGCCTCTGCCCTCCGACTCGCTCTCTCGTCCCGTAGTACTACCTCGGCGACCTCGACCGTCCCGACAAACGCGGCAGTTCCGACCCGAGTGACCTCAACGGCTGCTCCGGCAACCTCCACGGCGGGCCCGGTACCCTCGGCGACTGCCCCGAAGCCCTCGATTCCAACTGCAGCGATTGAGGTCATCGAGATTGACTTGAGCGACGATGATGAGGTACACGGAGCCCTTCGCAACATCGATGGAGTCCTATTGTTTCTTCCATAGAATTCGACGACAGAGGGCGCGACGAGGAGCAGTGTCCCTGCGCCGGCCAACGCTCTCGTCCAAGACGATAACGACATTGTGGGAATTCGTGTTACACATATCGTGGTTGATGCTCTGTTCTAGCAAAGTGGTTTGCGGCTGGAATACCTTGCTTCGTCGCTGTACCGAGAGTCGCGGGCCATTCGAGCCTACGGCGCCGCGAGCGACGGCATGTCGGCGTCTGCTTTGGCTGCCTTTTTGGACCACGTTGCTCAGTTCACAGAAGACGCGGCCGATGCTTTCGGCCTCATGCTTTCGGCCTCATGCTCTCGCAGCACACTGCCTCGTCGGAAGGCGCCGTCTCAGCGTGCTGCAACGCAATGACCTCGGCCACGGAGCGATGCGCGATGCGTCGAGACACGTGCCATTACCGTAAGACAGGCAAGCACGTCGATGGCGCCACGTCGCCGCCTCGAAGTGCGGCACCAAAGGACCGCGAAGCAGGGACGTATGAGAGAAGCCGGCACGCGTGCCGCCATCACAATCCAGCGTATGGCCGCTTTGTTCGTGACGGCGATTCGGGCGGTAGCCCACGTGCAGCTGCGGAAATCCCGCATCTTGCACGCGACGCCGAGGAGACTGCTCGCCCAAATGCAGCGGCTCCAGGGGCCAACCGCGGGGCATACGTCGAGGTCGACCACGGGAGGAGCAGGAAGGAAGCGATCGCTCGTCTCCATGCCCACGACGAGAACCAATTCAAAACGAGACACTCTTCGGGCCTCACGAACCAGCGCGTCACGGTGTTCGAGTGCATCACGCATGCGAACTGCGGACGACGGGGTCGCGTGGTGGCGACCGAGTCCGCTACTCGGTTTGCCGTCGAGTTTACGGGCACACACAGTACCGAGTTCTCGTTGCTCGTCCGTCAAGGCATCAACCCATCGATTCGCGACGAAGTCGACTTGCTGCTCGTCGGTGGCATGGGTCCCAAGGCCATTGTCTCCTTTCTCAAAAACAAATATGCGACCGACGCCCTTATGCTATCGCGCGTGCCCAAGGAGGGGACAATCAAGGCCCGGGGAGTCTACGTACGACGGACATCTACACATGGACGGTGACAACACCAATGGCCAACAAGCCGTCGCCGAGCGTATCGAGAGTGCCTGGATTCGGGCGCACACGTTGCCGGCCCGTCGTGCATCTCCGAAGTTGTATCACCTCGTAATCCTTCATGACAGTAATCCGCACCATTTTTCTTTATGGTGAAAATAGCAGGGCGTCCGTCATTTGTGTGCACGTTATGTCCACCACACTCACCTGTCCTCGCTTGTGGGTCCCCGTAATATAGCTAACCCATATCTACTGGTTTTGCCCTCGGCTCATTTTTCCCTCTGCTCATTTTTCTGCCCCTGCCGCAAGGCCTCTCCACTCATTACTTGGAGCACGTCCACACTTCAACATCGAGCACCTCGTGCCATTTACTAGTGCGAGAGAGTCGATACGACTTGTTGTTTGTCGTATTTGTGTAGGCGACAACATGTAGGCGTTCCGTGTGAAAGCTTGCTGATGCTGATTTCGGCGGGAATGTCGATTTCCGCCGCCGCCGCTCCTGCAGGGTAAAGTAGCATCGCCTGGACACGGCAGCTGGACAAGTCGCGTCTCAAGTGGTCGTACACAAAAGCAAGGGAGATACATCGATTTCCCTTGACAACACGAATCAACGACACAGCCCACGCAAGCTGCTGCAAGCGGTTCTTATTGCACACCGTCCTAGAGACAAGTGGACGAATACAATCTTGAAGTACGTGCTTCGGATGTTGTTTTCGTACATTATGGACCTACTGTTTTGACCCCAAGTGCTGCGACCAAAAGAGGTATCCGCCGCCCATGACCATGGCCAGGCCCACGACGGTGAACATCGTACCGACAGCACCGAGGGCATCGGCCGACCGTTCTTGGCGTTGCACGAGGCCCTCGTGGCCGCCGTAGACGACAAAGCTCGGGCGGCCTTGCAGATGGCGGTGCCCCGGCGGCGCCAGCGTCCACGCCAGCGTCGGCGCACCGGTCTCGCCGTACACGAGCGCACTCTCGACGATTCCAATGCCCGACACCACGTCATTGTTGGGAATCGTGCGCTCGGCGGTGCGGTATCCGAGCGTCTTGCGGCGCGGCTCGTCCCCGCCGAGCACCGAAATGTTGGTGTCCTTGGCCGGCGCAAAGGCGTCTTCGCCCTTGCGGTAGAGCATGCTAAAGTACGACGGGTGGCTGAGCACGACGCGGCGGCCGTCGTGC